TTTAGATTGTACCCATAAGTAGACATAATTGTTATAAATGTGTAATAAAGATTTAGAAGAGAATGTAATTTCTTTGATATAACCAATATATCTCAGCAAAGACAACACTGGATCCAGAAGTCGGTCTCTTTCTTGGGCATTCAGGACACAGGTAACTATGATCAAGTGCACTTACCTATGTCCCCATTTAATTTACAAGCTCAAAGCTCCAATTTCTCTGCTAGTCCACTTTACCACACTGCTGCACAACAGTCCTATTCTCCCCAAGTCAGTCTGTCACTACAGAAAATTTTTAAAGCAAAAGCTGAAAAGGAACAAGTTCTGCCACTTTTTAAGCCATTTATTTGCTATTTGGCTTTAAGCAAAAAAAGGAAAAAGCTGCAACCAAACCTAGCTTATCTATAAAGTTATTTTAAAAGCATCTCACAGCAGGAGGTTGTTTTCAGACACTAGAAAGTAGATTGAATGTTTGCACATTCCCAAATCCTATATGAAAGCCGGCAGGAGACTGACTACTTTTGCCAGCGCAGGCCTGCGCAACCGGACCTCCACACCTTCTGGGTCTGGATCATCTTTGCCACGCGTTTCTGTAAGCGCCGACCACAGCTGCGCCAAGACGAGCCCTGAAGCTTCCGAAAGAGCAACACAAGTTACACTTGAGGTAGCTCGGTCATTTCCAAGGGACCAAAGGCGCACGGGACACCTTGCTGGCTCGGGCTCCCTCCGCCTTCCCACCGAGGCTGCCAAGGCTGCAGGAGGAGATTAAATCATTAACAGCTTTTCGTTGAAAGAGCATATTGTTGGATATGCCCAAGACTTAAAAGTCTGCTGTATGCCGAGATGAACTTTGTGAAGAACATTAGGATTACAGAGGAATACACACAATTTTGCAAAATCAGGGGTGAGGCGCACAGCATAGCATGAAATAATCAATCTCAATTATTTCTGGTTTCCTCCCCTAACTTGAACAAAGACCAAACATGGAACCTTCCTAAGGAGACTTATTTGGAATAGATCTTAACCTTTCCATTAGTTCCTTAAAGAGTACACCGCTCCTCACTTTCATACCTACACGGTAATAGTTAGTTAGAAAGAATGGCTTAGCACAACTCACTAGTCCCAACATTTGTCAAGAGAAGTCCTGCAAGAATTAACACAAATCCCCCACAACCCACCCCCCATTTAAAGATTTGTCATTCACTTGCCCTCTTCTACCTCGAACATTTCAGTTACAATACTCTGCCGATCACTGTCCAGGTCTGTGACTGGCATCTCATCTGAACAGCAATAAATTATCACTAAATAATCAAAAGCAACAGAAAATGGAGATTAGGTTGCAAAATGAAACATTTATTATAACTAAACAAAGGACACAAGCTCCAATTAACTTAAAAATTTTATATCACATTATGGCAAACACAGGACCAGTATGCTCAGAGCATACACAAATGATTTTCAACTCAAATTTAACACAGGCTGAAATTCTTCAACTGAAAAAGCAAAATTTGGGAATACATACAAAGAACAGAATATGGGATTATTCTTTTAATTAAATATACCAAATAATTTTATATAAACAATTTAAAAGTATTTAAATACATGCTGAAGTAGCTAAAGTTTAAATGATTAGCAAGGTATGTAGATACAAAGTTACAAGAAGTATTTTGGAGTTGTATAAAAGATGTAACTTTTTCCTCCCAGACAAAGCCTATGTTAAGTGTAAGGTACTATTGCGTGAAGACAATATTGTCTACCTGCATGCAGTCCTGCTGACAAACTACCTATTAAATTAGCTTTCCAGTACTTAACTTGCAGGCAGATGTACTCTCACAGCATGCAGTCAGTGATGAAAATCTCAGTAAAAACCATCTTTTGAGCTAACACAAAATGGAAACAAGTTTTTCAATAAAATAGGTCCTATACCCTGCTTGTTCTCAAGGGGAAAAAGAAATTACATCCTACTTTACTTCTCTTCCCAGTTGCTAAATGAATTTTTAAAAGCTTTTTATATGTTTTACATTCCTCCCCCCAATAGTTCATAATCAAAATCAGATCTTATTTCAATCTGAAATACCCCCAACAATGGTCTGGCCAATTATCTAACTCTGAGCTTAGAGACTTTGCCTGTGTAAGTCACAAGGTCACCGAAATCTCACACATCCTCTAGTTATTTAAACAAATATTTACATCTCCTGATTAAATATTCATTCAGGAATAAGTTCTGACCATTACTGTACACTCGGAAGTCATCCTTTCTCTGAAAGTACTGCAGCTTCTGGGTTTTTGGTCAACACGAAAGACAACAAAGCATGTTAGCTGAAGCTAGTCCTCAAGCCACCGATTTGCTGGAGTTGTCTGTACTGGCTGGAGAGCTGCTCGGGAAGGTTCAAAACTGGCTGAATGGGAATCACCAAGGGCTATCTGATCTTTTTAAGCTTGCAGAAATGTGTTGTTCAAGGCCAGCTGTCACGGGTTTGCCTCCTTTCAACATCAGAAGGAAGAGATTTTCCGTGAAAATGCTTCACTATGGTTGATGCAGACATCCTTGAAACGCTTTAGGTAACAGAGGAAAACTGACATTTGTGATTGACATTTAAATGTATTTCATGTAACCTGTTAAAATTGCACAATATGCCAAATTTCAAATGAGTCCAAAACCTAAAAATGTTCAATAAATGCATCATGATGATTTTAATCAGGGCATTTTTCATTAAAAAAAAATCAGCTATTCTTGCCTCCCTTCTTATTTAATCCACAGAAAATTTAAGTGAACAGTAAACACAGAAAAAGAACAGCAGCAATTGTCTTAAACTCCCAAATACTACAATCAGGTAATTTACTGTGAGGACAGTTAAAGCTCTGTAAAACTTTAATCAATAAATCTTTGAAAACAGCTTTTTCTGCTACGTGCCTGTTTTAAACTTGCATGCATTCAAGTGCATACAACTCTTAGGTTTCTGATATTCCACAAAAGGTAGCAGACAATTTTAGAGTGTCTTTATCATGTTTCAGGAATGTCAAGTAAGATTGTCACACATTCTTTTAAAATTGAAGATATGCCACTGCAAAATTTAGCATACTTCAAAACCCATTAATGCTAATTGTAAATTATACAAGGTAAAATTAGTTTTTAAGTTGTATTTTTGTGAAACTAGTTTCACACATTTTCATCTAAGTTTTGCCCTAAAAAAGCACCTAGTGAAATCCTATCTTCAAAATCTACAAACTGACTTTCATGCTGAAATCTCCAAGTTAATCTTGAAATTGAAAAGGAAGAGAAGAGCCCTCTTCTTTAAGGGTACATTAACTACAAAAATTGTACTAATTTGGAATTTCAGTTTTGCCATAGCCATTTTACACTTCAGATACAATTACAGTAATTCTCAGGAGGACCTTACTGTAAGCAGCTTTCTTTGCAAACTGTACAGAATATGAACTCAATACTTGAACTAAACACTGACCTTTTTTCTAGAATTGTACTGTACATCTTACTGTATACCCTGCTTTGGAAACAACTAAATACAATGGTCCATCATGCAAGCCATGAGTCTGCCAAAACGTTTTTTGTTCCACTAACTTCAAATAAGTTTTTACAAATAATTTAGCCAATCTAAATACTGAACATGGAATTATGCTGAAATACGCTTGGGAGTCAGTATTTTCTACGAAAATATGCAACTATGACTAAAAGCATGAAGTACTAACTGCCCACCTCAATATCACTGTGTACAGCACCATTTTAAGATGTGCTCTCTATAGTGTACACAAAGTCAAGAATGTTCATGTATTTTATAATACTGGGTGCAAAATAAAAGTAAAAAAAAACAAGCCACAACCCTGCTGGTTCAAGTCACACTATGTGTATTTCATAACAGATTTTAAGAAAGCATGGAAAATTTAGGCTACCAGGAATTATGGAACATCCCAGAGTTAGTATTTTCACTTTTAAACTTAAAAATTTACTAGTAAGTACTAGTTATTCGTGAGTAAACCTTGACCTACTGTCAGTATTTAATCACACAGTTATAGATAGTAACTATAAGCAATTGATGAGAAAGCCAAGGATGTAATCAAAGTACTGGCAATACCAGACATGACTTGTTGACTGCACAGCAAGCAAGGCCATGAGATGAACGTATTTATGTACTTTGACTATACTTGGTTAGTGATTTTATACCTGAGATGAAAACTGAGAGGTAAGAGAAGTTATGGTGTAAATAATTACCAGATGAAAAACAACAAACATGAAGATAACTGCATTTTTTAAAAATATATGTGAAAAGATCACAACTGACATTTTCCCCTTAAGATTATTTTCATTTTGCTGGTTAGACAAACACTTTAACTCACTTTACTCTGTGACAGATTGTGTTCTGAAACTATTTTAAAAGGCTCCTGTGATTCCAATGCTTTAGTAATTCATAGAATTTTGAGTAGAAGTGACATACTCTACTCCCTAGTCTTAAGAAATTTAAGGCACCCATAAGAAGCAAACTTCATGGGAAGTTTCCATTCTACAGAAAAATAAATCTGATTTTCCCTTCAACAGAGAAAAAAAAATCATGAATTCATAGAAGTGATTAGAATGCCACATTCTCTGTCAGTGAGGCAACAGCTTAGTGATATTTAGCTTAAATAAAACTCAGTCTAAAGAGCTTCTACTGAAGCCACAGAATCTTCACTAACAGGTTACAAAATATGTAATATTGTGACAGAAGGGAAAGTTTGTATTAAATTCTGAAAAAGCTAAAAGGTGAAAGCAGAGCAAGGTTGGGCCCCATGTAATGAAGAAAGAAAATAAATGAGAAACATTCTTCCATGATAGATACACTTAATTTATATAGCAAACTTGCAAGTTTAATGGATCACTGTACCACAACAATGAGTGCAAATACATGATTTTGTGGGCAGGAGCACTGCTAAAGAAGCGTATTTTGTTTTCATCTGTATGGAATGACAATAAATCACTTCTTTGAGGAACGGAAATTTCATTCCATATGTCAGAAAACATACCTATGATTTATTACTAGAATCAGCTCAAAACACTTCCCATAATCACAAAGCTGAAGTAATATGTAGCCATTAGACACAGAAAAATATACAAGGTTTTGGTTACAACTGGGATTAGCTTCAGATTCTGAAGCTTAATTCTTTGCTTCTGCAGCTTCTTTATCATGCTTTTCCTTTGCTTTCTCTTTTTCTTCCAGTTTTTCTTCTTTTTGAAGCAGTGCCATAATCTCAGCAACCTGACTGGTGCCAATATCAATATCTTCTTTGTCAATCAATTCTACTACCTACATGAACATAAAGTGAAATTGAGAGAGCATTTAGTTTTCACATGACTGAGGCATTTTCAAATCATAAATTTTGTTAGGACAAAAAAAGTAATTAGTTCTCTCATGTTTTTCTTACACAAAATACAAATTCAAACCACAACCTGTGTCTCAAACATATCCAGCTAAAACTTAATGAAAATGATCGTTAAGTTTTCGACCTCAGCACACACACACATTTTAAAGCATGAGTAAAACAGACCCATTGATTACGTCTGTTCCAATGGAAAGTTCATATGCTGTACCTGCTGAAATAGTATTTAAGACAATACTTACTTTATAGGCTTAATTTAATCAACAAGAGCTACTGTACTAAATAGCCACAAATTTACAAGAACTTAAAAGTAGAGGCGGGGTAGGCCTTTCAGAAAGCAGAATGAAAATACAGTTTAGCAGGTGATTCCAAATACCTTTATATAGCTTTTTGTACATACTTATTCTTGGCATCACTCCTCAAGTTCCTAGAATTATTCAGCATTATATGCAGAATTCAGAAGTACATTTTACCTGTGTTCCTAAATGTACAATGGCTGTTTAGAGCAACACAGAAGATAATCTTCACTGGGACAACTTCAGTAGAGAGGAAAAATGTTTCAAAAGGCTGATACTGTATTTTCTAGCTGGCCATAGTTTAAGTGCTATTTCTATATTGACTAGGAAAATTACTTGCAAGGAAGTAAGTTTCAAGCGATCTCTAAATTTACCGAGTACAAAAGAAACAATAAAATGAAGGAGAAGTGAAGGGAAAACCTGAGAATGCTCTGCAAAATGAGCAAACAGGACAAATCAGGTAAAGAACACAGGTCATTTCCAATGGACCTAAAGCACAGCTGATGGTCTGATGTCTTTCAAGCATAGGAGATACAGGTCTCAATGAAGTACCTAAGGTATACAAGTAGGCAAGAGAAGCTATTATCTTGTGTTGACATAAAGCATACCTATATGCATTATGTCAAGACTTTGCCTAACAGTGGTATTCCTAAAGTAGTTTTTCTAAAGCTCCTTCCCATCCTCCGTCCCTTATGTGCTTCATGAGTAGCACAACAAAATTACCATGTTTGACAGAACTTGACAAAAGGTATACAGGAAAACCTACAGCCTTGAAGGTAACGCAGGTAACAGACACAGGATAAAGATTTTATCTTTTTATCCTCCAAAATAGCCATACAAATTCTGAAGATGCTGATGTGTATTATCAGATCTATTTACAATATATGACCAAAAACCTCACTGGCATCAAGTAAAGACTCTTGCAAAAGACAGCAATATGAATTTAAGTCAAAACAGGTGCAGTGTTTGAAGGATGGATAGCCTTATTTTCTTTAAGTAGTCCACAGACTTACCTTAACAACATTATCTATATCAATTTTGCCATCCTTGTTTCCGTCTAGTGCCTCTGCAATCCTAGTTAGCTTCTCCTCCGGAATCTTCTGAATTTGTTTCATTGCATTAATTAGCTCAGCAATACTGATGAGATTCTCCCTGAAGAGGAAGCACAATCTGTACATGGCAAGCAGTTACTCCAAAGGAGTAAAGTGGACAAAAGGCACTACTGAAAGGCACTACACTGCAGGTCATTTGTAAAAACATTATTTATTTATAATCCTGAACAGAATGTAAAAAACCAAGAATTAGTTACTGCTCAAGCAAGCAGATTTCAAATTAATCTTTATCTTGCCATCAAAGCTCACACTTTTGGTTTCCACGTGCTTTATTGCACAAATACAGGTATCCAGAAGCATTTGAAATAAAGTTTAGCACAGTTTCTGTGTTTCCCAGACTGTGTATCTAATGCCCTTTGCCTCCCCAGCCCATTCACCAAAGATGCAGTGCCATGCACCTGTCATCCTTTTAGATTTAGAGAGGCTGGCCCACACAAAATTAATGAAAGTCACAGGAAAACCAAGGCTGAGAATTAACTGCTTTAGCAATTTAGCTGTTTTGTTAAAATAGGCTTCATTTGCTCATATCCAGGAATAGACTTTGTAGAAGAACAGACTAAACTTGACATCGTGACTAACATACTTGAGATGTTTCCACTGTTTGCTTACTGATCTCGTGAAACTAAAATTGTCTGTCTTGTGCAACCTGAAGCCTCTGTTTGCCTATGTTGTTTTATTCGTCTGAAAAACTGTCTTCCAGCATAGGTCGAGGTGAAATGCAGGAGAGAGTGAATCCAATAAATATTAAACAGAAGGGCTTTATCAGTATAGTCCCAGCTCCATAGCTGTCCCTAACCTCTGGGCACAGACTGACTTTTATTCAAGGAGCATTTCTCAAGCTGCCAACTAAATGTCCCAGACTTGTGTCATTTCTATGACTCTTGATGACTTGGTAATGACTGCACCAAGTCGAAGGTTAAAAAACAAGCCTTTAACAATTAAGCATTATTTAAAACTAATCATTTTCAGTCATCCACAATCACCTGAAAAACTATCCACAAAACTATCCATTACATAAAGTATAATTACATTCAGTATTAGCAGATTCCATATTGTATTTTTAATTTACAAATTCAGATGGTTTTGATCAACAACTTCTCTATAGCACCATTCATATGGCCGCCTTGATCTTATTACACAGAATCTGAAACAAATCCCCAGTTTGCCCTGGGGACTGGAAAAAAACCAGAAAATAGTTCAGAAGCAACAAAAGCAGAATCCTTATTTCTGTTTAGGTTATGGTCTATGTGAGCTGGGAAGCTCTCTTAATGAATCACACAAAATGGTGCAAGTATAAACTAGAATAATACAGTATTCATCTCACAAACTGTGAGAATTACAGTCACAGTTTTTAGGCATTTCAGTGCCTGTAATGTAACATATGACCGTTCAACATTATGATTGCCTGGAAGACTCTCCAGTAACATTAAGACCTGGAGAAGTGTCAATAAATGAATTTTGCAATGAAATTATCAAGAAAGACCTTTCTTTAAAAATCTGCAAGTGTGTCAAAGTTGAAATGAAGCAAATTTTTTGAAAGGGACCATGTAAAATTATCTCCTTACTTCCATTAGACCTGTTCCCCCATTTCTCTCCAGGAGACAGAACAGCCTTTATAGCAATCTTTTTTCCTCGCTGACATCTTCACTACTAAAGAACAATAAACATGAATATGCTTATCACACTGTTGTGCAGCTTTTCAATCAATGACACAGGGCAAACGTACTGCCTGAGGGGCATGACTAAAGGCATGATTTCACCTGCATCACTGTTACTGCTACAGGCATGAACAAGATGGTAAGATAGTAACTGACACTTTGACTTTCAGAACCCCCTCAGGACTAGCATCTGGGGAATTATACCTGCTTTTTTCCTTCCTCATTTCAATCATATTTAACATATGTTAGAAGACAGAAAATCTAGAGCACAATTTTCTTAATTCCATTCTCAACTTAAATTATCTTAACATTTTAAACAACTTCTTTGCTAATTCTTTTCTAATCACACATCAGACAAAAGCAAGACTGAAGATGAACAGTCAGAGACACATTCAGTGCTCTCAAGTCACTTACCCAGCAGGAGGACTATCGCCACCGTCCAGCTTTACATCGACTGTCTTTTGACTTGTCTCCAATTCATTAATAATTTTGTCTATCTGACCAATCATTCGGTTCACCCTCTTGGTCAATCGCTTGCTTGCCTTTGACTCTTCTACTACCTCTTCCTGGCCAGTTTTAGAGAGCTCTTTTATCTCTTGCAAATCCTAAAAGAAATGGTCAAGAGAGAGAAAAGCTTTTGTTCATGTTAATTCTCAACAATAGACACTACTGACTTCGACTAGCATTTCAAGACCAAACACCATTTGTAAATGAAATGCAAGCATATAGACATATAAAGCCAAACTGGAATTAGAATAATAAATTCTAATGCTGCAGCCATTCTCACGCACTCCTCAAATGTCATTTTCTGCATCTTTCAAAAAACTGGATAAGATTCATTTTACTTGAAATATCTGTAATACTGACATCTATGTTTAATAAGACAGAACTGCAGCATGCAGCAGTTAGTGAGCACCTGTTAGTCTAGTCATCCTGGGAATAAGTGCAGGAACAAGATTCTCATGTGGTGGGAGCTACTCCAATGATTTTAACTAGGCTTTAAACACGTTATACAAATGAGGCTCTGCATTGTCCCATAAAACGGTACAAAGCTCATTCACTCAGCTACCCACTACTGGCTAACAGTCATCCAAGTAATCTTTAACTTTGTGGATCATTTATGCCAAAAGTAAACACAAACAGAAAAAAAACCACCAAACCAAAAAACAAAAAAACCCCAAACTTCCATGCCCCATTGTACCTCATTGTACTCTTGGATATCATCCTTTAATTCCTCAAGCTCCTCCTTTTCCTTTGTTAGTGACTTTTTCTGTTCCTGCAGCTTGGTGCAAGCATCACTGAGCATGTCAATCTCCTCCTTAGTGATCTCCTCACCCTGTAACAGAACATATATACAAACCAGTGAAAGACACATTTGTGATTTTCTTTGAAGATTTTGGGTCTTTTACCAGAAGCGACAGATTCAAGATTCTTTTTCCGTGTTTACAGTCAATATTGTACAGACTGGCATTCTGAAGCTAATGCAGAAATGTGCATTTTGAAGCTAATGCCAAGATCTTAAATGCTAAGGCAATTGGATTGCTATGGTACATATTTTTTAAGTGTACCAGTAGTAAGTTCAGCTAATGTGCTTCATTACATGGGTTTTGGCTATTTGAAATTCTGTAACTAATTGTCTCATTGAAGAATGTTTTACTTCCTTTACTGGGTGAAAAATCCCAGTAACTGAAAAATGATTCACTATGTATAGGAAAGATACATTACACAAAAAATTTTGCAAAGCAAAGTTCAGGAAGATGAGCTGGAGCAAAGTTATCTTCAACAACTTTTCTAAGAATGAGAATGAACATCCATAGTTTGTGAGGTATACTTGTCTCTTGAAAAGCTGAGAATAGAAATCTAACCCCCAAATAAATACTTGAAAAATAAGACTTCAAGATGATTCATTAAAAATACTAAAATCTCATAATACTAGCTACAGTTAGCATATTAATCTTACCCAGGCACCAGCTTTTGTTTTGAATGGCTAAACTCTGAACAGCCACATGAGTATAGAAAGACACGTGCAAACAAGAATGCCAGAAACACAGAGCAGAATGATGATATACTTCCAAGAAACAACTACAGAACAGTTCACCAACTAGGCATTCAGCCCCTTTGGCAACTCAGAAATAATTTCAGTGTACTGTCAATCTCTAGGCATCAACCTCACTCCTGATTTTAATATAGTATCTGTAGTTCACCTTAGTGGGGTGGGGGGAAAAAAAGCAATTCAGTTTGAAAACTAATTCCTCTGCCTCAAATAAAATCACTCATCTTCAAGAAGCTGGCAGTCTTACATTTTTCCTTTAAGAGGCCAGAATGTAGTCCACAGTGCTTGAGATCTTTGGAAGCATCTTTAGGGGACACGGCACACTGTAATTTCGGTTAAAAAATGTCATGCTTTTTAGTTCTTGTTTTCTCTTATCACTTACGGCCCAGTGTCATACATTCTCACAGCGTTGGTGGCGTGGCAGACAACAATGCAAACGCTATGCCAGATGTGACGTACGCTATGCTAGCGGCGACATCACGCACCCTTGCTGTTTCCAAACAAGATAATCCCAGCCTCAGCCTGCTTCCCTCCCACGGCATTCGTTATGACTGCACTATCATGCACCCAGCTACACAGTAAGGAGTCAGCTAACTCATCACACAAAAATACATGATTTCAACATGGATTAGTTAAATTTTGTTATTACCATTACCATATTACCTTCTTGGCAGCATGCTAAAGTAAACAAACAATGTTATAATAATAGCAGGCAGATAATGATGCTGTCCAGGAAACTTGAAAATAATTTGCTACATAAAACATTTATTTTAAATTAGTGGTGTTGTTCTGCAGAGTAACACCAGGACTTAGAAAAATCCTGACACCAAACCTTATGGACATGAATGAAGTACTCAGCTACAAAAAAACCCTCAACGTTCAACTGAAGCATGAAATGAAGTCATAAAAGTGGTTGAAGCAGGGAGAGGTGACCCAGGAGGAATACAGAGACACTGTCCAAGCCTGCAGGCCTGGGTTCAGGAAAGCAAAAGCCCACTTGGAGTTTAATTTGGTGAAGGACCTGAAGCGCAACATGAAGGGCTTCTACAAGTACATCAGGATCAAAAGGAAGCCAAGAGAAAAAGTGGGCCTGCTGATGAATGGGGTAAGGAACTTGGTGCAAAAGGACATAAAAAAGGCAGAGGTTTTACTAGTAAGACTGTCCTTCAGGAACCCAGGTCTGCAAGATCAGTGAGAAAGTCTGGAGTAAGGAAGATCTACTGTCAGTGGAGGAAGATCAGGTTAGAGAATATTTAAACAAACTGAACATACACAAGTCCACGAGACTTAGTGGGATACAAGTGGTGAGAGAATTGTTTGACGTCATTGAGAGGCCACTCTTGATTACATTTGAAAGAACATAGTCTTAAGGGAAGATTCCTGAGGACTGGAAGAAAGCACATGTCATTCCTATTTTCAATAAGGGCAAGGAAGAGGATATGGGGAGCTACAGGCCAGCCAGGTAGCAAATGGTTGAAAACAGCATCCTCTGACTGTAACAAAGCATGCTCTGATCATACCAAAGCATGCTAATGCTAGAAATTAATGGTGCTATAAATCAGCACCACACTAAAGAAACAGAGTACACTAAAAAGCTTTTATAGTGTATATACACTGCCTGCATCAGTTTAGAAAAGGAAGTCGATACAAATCTAATACAGTCTAGCCCAAACCTAGTTCTTCACTTAATCCTTTGGTCTTAGCTACACCCTTCAAAAGAAAGGAACACTCATCTTTACCTACTCTTGCCCTCTCCCTTCTCATGTGTTAATTACACACAGATTAAACACGCACAGATCCATTACATCTACAGCCAGTGCAAACGTCCCCCAAAATAGGTATATTAGTATCAGTAACACACGCAGATAAAGGAGATACTCAGAGATTTTTTTGTGCTAATATCAATTTCTGCATTGCTGGTTAAGGATTTGCAATCTACTAATTCGCTGGTTTTAACTGACAGAATGTGGTGAGAGGGTTAAAACTTGAAGGACAGCCAGGGAACTTATCATGGCTCTTACATGGATGTTTTGAATCTTTACATTGAAAAGTATAAAAACATACAGTTATCCAGATTACCTTAATGCCTTCCAGTACTGGTGCTGTATCTTTCAGTGTCTCCGAGTGCATCGCCATATCTGCCCTTGCCAGTTCTTGTTCAGTATCCATAGCCATCTGACTTTTTTTAACTTGCAGAGCAGCTGCTTCAAGATCTACTGCTGATTCCACCTCTTTCTAAATTTGAAAGACCCATGAAGTTTTAATTAAAACAAAGATAACATTATGTGTATTAGCATCAGTAAAGAATGACTTCTCAAAATAGAAATAATTGCCAAAGTAGACGCAGACATTTTTATGAGAAGACAACGTTAAAAAACTGCAACATGTTTGGTGGTTCCACATAAAAATACCCAACTGCACTTATGATCTATGCCTGTGAGCACCTGAGGCTTAATTCACCAGTCAAGCAGGCCACCAGTTTTTACAGTCAAGTATTATACAGTACCATTATCAGGTCAATGACAAATAGAAAGAGTAAAAGATAAGAACAATTACATTTAAAGTATGGGGCGGGGATCAAAAAACAAACAAAACCACCACCTTTGCTAAAGGAATAAAAGGCTTCTCTTACTACTCTAATTAAGAGGAAAGAGAAATCAAAGATCTGCAAGACTGAGACAATCTCTTATGTTTCACAGTGAACCTTTCTGTGTTGCAGTCTGTTTTAATATTTTCCCACATCTTCCAGATGTGGATTTAAAGTCCAGTTTCTTGAAGGCAACACCCAGAGCAGAGGCAATAGCTTGTAACATGCTAGTTTTTACATCACTGACATTTATTTCTCAACAGCTGAGAACAGAACTTACCATGGCTGCAACTTGAAGGGTTTCTTTGGCTTTCTCTGCAGCTTCAGACATTCTTTCCATCTCTTTCTCTTCATTTTCTTTCCTGATGGCTTCCTCTTCCTGAAGTGTTGCTTCCAGCCGTGCTTTGTTATCTACTTTTTCACCTTCAACTTCTGCCACTTTGACTTGAGCCTCTTTGGCCTAAAATTAACATAAGAAGCCTATTAAAGTCTCTATATATGTTTGTGTGTGTGTGTGTGTGTATGTATGTATGTCTACATAATGTTAAGAAGTTTATATATCCTGACCGAGACAGGTAGAACAGGTATGCCAATGAATACAGTTAAAACCCCCCAAAGTTACCCTATTTTTTAATTTCTCAGAAAAAGACAATTCTCTTTCTTTGAAAACAAGAACTTTCCATCCTGAAATCAGACACGTTCTTCATTGTCTTTCTCTCAAGACTACCAATAATCTATGCAAATATATTCTCTCTCTACACAACATTATCAACATTTTCATACAGTAATGTCTTTATATTGCCCAAAGCATAGATTGTTTTTTCTATTAGCAAAAAAGTGTATTCTAAATTTTCTTATACTATTACTGTCTACCACCATGCAATGAAATATTGCCTTTTACTTGCTTTATTCTCAGATCCCTCTACATATAAGCCCATTTCTTCTGTGTTTGAAGGTCACTCACACAAACCTATACATGGTTTAGCTTTTCAAGGGAAAAAAGGGAACTAAGAAGAACATCTACTTCTCTAAACAGATCTTCAGTAATGACAGTTGATTATAGACTATACACATCCATACTTACAACACTCTCTGGTAGTGTCTGAAGTGTTGTTTTGAGCTGATCAGCTGGAGAAAGGGTATCTGGAAGATACATGGCTCTCGATAAAATAAGCAACGAAGTAGGAATTTCCTGGTTCAGGTGCAGATCTAACCACTATAAATGCAATACATAAAACAAGCCTTCAACTCTTGAATTTTTTTCTTTTTTACAGATCAAGTCAACTACACACACACACACACACAAAAAAAAAGTAAATTTTTTTACCACTACTTATCAGTCAATATTCTAGCACAGGAACTATAAGCTATAAGCAGCTAAGAATTCCAGAAATTGCATTGAAATATATGAAGAACTATTTCATTTGAAGAATTATTTCAAGAAAAATTTAATGAATATTTCAAAAAGTGTTTTGTTTCACATACATCTTCCTCTACACCAGGCAGCATCACCAGACAAGGAACTGATCTACTTGGAGAAATGTTCTCTACAGAATAATACAAATAATTAACAAGACAAACAGATAAAATTGCAAAAATATTTTGGATATGTTTAAGTCTATTTAAGTTTTTTAAGTCTATTTAGTTTAAGTTTTATCTATTTGCATCATCAAAACATCATGGCCCACTCAAAAGCCAGAAAACTACTACTACTACGTACTTACACAGTACACACAACAAAAGCTTAGTAAGAAGAAAGACTGTTTTAGCCAAGCTTTTAATGAGAACAGAAGCAAAATGACTTATCAGAACCATAAAGAAAAATCAGAGCTAGCAACTGAAGTTAGGTCTGTGTATTCAGTCTTGCAAAAACATACCTGTTTAAGCTGTTCCTTAAGACGCTCCTCTGTCACACCAAGAGCTCTCATACCTCGGGCACGACAAGCTGCCTGCAGTTCTTTAACAGTCAGGCTATCAACTCCTTCTTCAGCAATTAGCTGCACAAAGCGTAAAATAAACTTTAACATGTATCAGCTCAAAACTGAAGAACCACTACCGATGGACACCCAGAAGTCCGTATTTTTACAACGGCCACTAGAGGCTGCTGTGATAGCACAAATAGCCTCCACTTAAAAACAGTGAATATTACAATGTAGTCTTAACAGCTCCATAATGGTAATGTCCATCTCTCTCCAAGTTCAGTATTTCTATCGGATCCCTTACAAATTATAGTTTCATAGAAATGCTTTTCTTTGTAACATAATTACTTTCATTGCAATTAATGGTAGATTTTAAAAAGGTCAGCTTTTTCTTTACAAATAAGGACTCTTCAGATTTTAAGTTCTTCAAGCATTTTCATTCTAAGTTAGCTCAAAAATAAGACAATTAAGACAAAAAAGGAGAACGTCTAGAAAGACATACATATATATATATACACACACACTCATTACTCTTACATGTCAAAATTATTAACCAGTGCCTATTCAGAATGACTTACTTTGTCATCTGCTTTTATGCTTCTCAACCTCATAGTCAGCTGGAAGCGGAGAAAGTTATTTGTCCCAATTGACTGAAGTTCCAACAATTTACAAAGGGCCACCAGCTGAGGCCTGGTTAAATTGTCCAGAGTCAACTCATCTTCAAACAGTTTAGAGAACCTTAAGATCTCCTCATTACTGGGTCTTTCACCAGTTTCCCTGATCTGTAAGAAAAAACAAACACACACAAAGCTTTTCAAAGCAAATGTTATGGTTGGGCATTATTTTGAACAATAAAAATATTTTCCTCATTTGTCAAGTACTTTGCATCAATTTTGATCATAGGAAATGGGACACAAGGAAGACAGGAAAAATTTTAAAAAAACAACCCACATTATTTACTATAAAAGGCAAAAGAATTGATGGTGTTGATAGTTTCCAACAGCAATGCGTAAAATACTTAAGATAAAACTAACAAAAACACAACTTAGATGCATCTATATACTAATGAGTAGGTCCATCTGAGTTGACACTGCCACAAGATACCTCAAAAAATAAATATATCTGAGCAAATAAATAGTTGCTACAGAAGTCACGCTGGCCATTATTCTTTCTGATACCATACCTACTAAACATAAAAGCACATTGAAAGCATCACCCCGTGAAGATAAAGTGAGAAGTACGTCCAATGGCAAAAATTTTGCAACATTGGTGTTCCTATGAAACAGGGATTTGGACACTTCTCTCCACAACCACATTTGTTACAATACTGTTTTGCTTCCAGTTCCTAGCCATTCTGCGGCACCTCAATGCAAATGCACTTGTACTTGAAGTTATTCCAAAGTATAAACCACTATTTGGGAAAGGACTCTGCATCCTTCTTGATAGAAGGCTCTGTGTAACTGTTTGTACAAATGCAAAGTTAAACTTTTACGTTATGTGTTCACAAATGGCACTTCATAGTAATTAAATCCAAGTACTGGAAGCAAAAATAACAGTTCGAAGAAGTAGGAAAAAAAAATATCATTCCCTAGTCTCATCAGGTCACAGTAAAACATTATCACCTGCACAAATGCTGATTTTTCTACTTTAAGTAAACCATGAAGTACGTATCAGTGGTATCACTGAATCCAAAATCTACAGAACTTAACGATGAGGTACTCCCAGTCACTTAACACCTTCAGTCTAAACAGTAAGTACATAGATATCCAAAAACACTTTTCCCAATACCTCTACCTTTTCTAAGCCCTGTAAAGAAAGCATAAGCTAAGTAACATCAGTACAGTCTGAAAATCTAACATTACCTATTCAGCCTGATTTATTATGCCTACCTGTTTTACTTGCCAACTCAGATCTTTCAGCAAACAGCTACTGAGTGCAGGAAAAGATAAAAAATTGGAAGACAAGATGGTCTTGAGTCCATTAAGCTTATGTTTCTCTGCTACTTGTCTAGCAGAGAAACCAACTGAGAGAAAGAAAGGTCAAAGGCCTTATTGTTCCACTTCACTAGCTCCTTCACTACAGGACCCAAAAACAGAACTCCAAAATACAGAAAGTGTTTTCTTCCTTGTTTAAAGCTGAATTTTGGCAGAGACAAGCATATGTTTCTTGAGAATACAAAAATGAAACTTTCTAGTACATCACTAGCTACAAAGCAACACCGATAAATTATGGAATTCTGGAGCAAACAGGTTAAGCCTGTAATGAACGGTTCTTGCAGCATCAAATACTTCACTGCAGAAGCAGCTATAAAAAATAGCAAAAAAGGCAGGAAACACTTAAGTTGCTTCTTGTTCTGACATTTATTACCTAGTATAGTGAAATGAGATCAATAACATTTGTCTCCATGGCACAAATGAGAAAATTGTAGCTGTACAAAGAACACCCACGCAAAAGAAATGCAGGGCTTGAAACTTCTTTTTAGTCATCAGAGAAACCTGGGACTTCCTCCAGCAAGTGTGGAGTGATATGTCATTTATTTCCACAGAAATTAACCGCCAAATGTAAATTCTCAGTAGGCAGTTCTTTCAGAAGAGAATGAAATGTTCCAAACATAAAGCATAGCAGTGGCATGCTCCCAGAGTCTGCAGCGTCAGTGCTTCAGCTACTAACTGCTGTAACTAACCATTTAAAATCTTCTGCAGATGAAAAAGAACAGAACCAGACAATTGCATTGAAGCTTCAAAGCACATGGGCTTTGCAAGCAGATATCGATTGGCAAAATTTGCCAATATCATTATCTGAGGTAACCTACTCAGCACTATCAACATGATCTTATTAACCCACCCTTTAAAACTTTATTTTCAGCACTGAGAACCAGGAAAAGCTCAAGCTAGCTGACAGGAATTGTAAAGTTCAGGTTTGGAATTCCCAGGCTTATGTCCCTTTTTCTGTGCAAATACATACTCTTCCCAAAGGAGGAGACTACATTCTTACTTAAAAAAAAAAAACACCTGGTGGCAGCAGCAGATGATGGTTGTTGGCTTGATCTCTTATTCAACAGCCCTATAATTAGAGAAACTAGAATAACTACTACCCTGAAAAGATTTAAGAAGTTATTTTTTGTCTCTCCAAAGAATATCCTACCCTTACCTACAACTTGGTGAAAAGAAACAACCGTCAAACCTAAAGGCCATCAATGTAGGAGGCTGATATCTGACATTTAGTCTCTGTCAGCAACTGCCTGTGAATAGGAAAATTTTGTACCAAACACAGCACACATTCTAGCAAAACTCCAGATTATACCACATTCTAGTCAGTATCTGAAAGGATTTTAGCAGTATAGCAACTGCACATTTAAAAAACTGTTTTCATAAGCAGAATTAAATTTGACCAAAAAAATTTTACTTCTCCCCCACTAAGTTTTAATCAGTTAATTAGGAAAGAACTCCCTTCTCCCACTTACTTCTTACACCCAATGTTCAAAAAAAAGAGGTCAGAAACTACATGAGTAATCACGGAGTGCACAATTTTTTGGATGTTAGAATTAACTTATTAACAAAATAAGAGAACACAACACGAGTGAGCAGAAATATACTGCTTCTAGAATCAAACAGAGAGTGAAAGTACCAGCTAGAATACCAAAGCTAAGAACAGTAAAAGTTCAGTACACTGAAGTAGTACTTGCAAAAAAAGGAAATCTATCCTAAAAAAACTATTACGTCCTGCTCCTTCAAATCCAACAGAAGAAAGGTATCCCATGATTACCATAGGTCAAACAAAACACCAAGCTATTTTTTTGGTAGGAAAAGAAAATATTTTTTTAAAAATTTTTACCTTTTGAAAGAATGTTGAAAAATCTTTTGTAACATTTCCTTTGGCTGCTTTATTTTTTAAGGCCATCTCCTCAATTGTGTCTTGAAGGAATTTAGCCAGTTCAAGTTTTACTCTCAATTCTTTCTTCAATCGTTCCTCCTGTTAAAAGAACATTTGGTTTTAAAAGTTCTTTCCAGAAATATGCGCCCTAAATACTACTACTTCTGCCCTCCAACAAGTTATGTGGAATACTTCTGAACTTCTGCTGTAACACACACATCACAAGAGGACATTCACTCTTACCAAAGATCCCCAAATCACACTGAAAAATAGGTTGATCAGCTCAAAGCTCCATGAAGCATGCAATGTGATGCCAACAGAGTGAAGTGCAGCATGAGTGGCATCACCTGCTAAAACTAACATGCACCCTCTGAATTAGTAACAAAAAAATAGAAACTAACCAACTTTGGTTTGGGTAATTCCCAACTCTTGTATCCAGCACAGAAATCCTACACTACATCTCATCCAAAGAGAAATTTGTCACAGAATTAAAAATTAATGATTACTTAGATCCAAGTATACAATCATGATTGATTGTAACTGACTGACTGCGAGCTCACTATACACAAACGTCATGTCTTTTGCACTCTGAAAGTAAGAACTTGTGGGGCTTTTTGGTGTGTTTTTACAGAGCTCTAAACAATTCCGAGAAAACATAATTAAACAAAACAAAATGTAAACAAAACAATGCATAAGAAGCTATTTTAAATATTAAGGACACATACAAAAAACCTTGCATCTATAGGACTATAAATGTTAAAACAAAGTCTGCCTATTTTAATACAAACTAGAAAAATAAAGTTTCACAGCTTCCATTTCTGCTTTGTAAGAGTCATAAAAACCAGAGATGAGCATACCAAAAAAAGACAAGAGAAGCTTACAGCCCTGTTAGCTAAGCAATTGCACCTATAAAAAGGTAAACCAGGATGGCACTGGTTCATTATCGTATGTTAAGAGCAAGATCATCAAAACAACATAAAGATGACAAAAGCACTCCCCCAATTAAAAAAAAAAGTCTAGTTTTTAGATTTTTTTCCTAATTTTTAGAATTTATCTGATTTCTTTCTTTACCAAGGAAAGTTCTAATTTTATCAAAACATATCACTGGATTATAAATTCACACCTGCTTACCTTTTTAGACTTTGTCTCAAATGTAGAGGGAAGCATGTTAGGGAACAACTTAAGAGCCACTGGAAGCAAAAATTCCATAAATGGAACAACAAGAAAAACTAGGAAAGGGACCAAGCGGAAAAGATCAGCACATATTCGAAGAAACTGGAAGGGGAAAAAAAACAAAAACATATCAATTAGCAAAATTTTAAATATTTAAAAAATACTTGATATGATCATCCACATTATCACTTAAGCTCACACACATATATTTGCTACAAAGGAAATTTAAAATAACACACAAAAAGGATGTGACAAAGTCAGTTTTTAGTATCTTTTTCTTCAAGTTGCTATATACTGCAGAGTGCCAGAGAGTTTCACCAGTTTTCAACACTATAGAAAGTATTTCAAAAGCCTCACTGTGTCTCAATAGGATTATTGAACAAGTATCTCATTTAAACCTCTTAAAAGCACCTGAAAACAGGAGGTGGTCATTTGTTGTTAAAGCTGCTTAACTTCTTTTATTCATCTTTATTTGTGCTCCACCACTTCTTACATGCATGAGCTACTATGGACTAAGCAAGAATGAAATGAAAGATCCCTCCCCCTCTGCCTTATAACAATTGTAATGTACATTTAAATCCTGGGTAATGAGTCCAGCTTGGTGGATTTCTTTTTTTTTTTTTAAACCACTGCTTTTCTAGAGCAGTAATCCTCTGAAGCAGGCCAATGCATTAGTTACCCAATCTTGAACAGCATAAAATAAATATTGTCCTTCTGATTTCTGCACACATACAGATGTATATATTAGGTTGTACAGTCTATAATCAAATCCTTCAGCACTTTGTTTATATTGGGGAATGCAGATCTTGCTTGACTCTACCTCATTTTACAAAGCAAGTAACCAGTTCTTGGGAGTAACGTCAGTTCCTCAATCAGAGACTAAAGGTCAGACATACACTACAGTACCCTACAGCCACAGCACTGTCATTCCACATCATGATTTGATAAACACAGCTATGGTTGGCAAAAACGGGCAACATAAATGCTATTACACAAGTAAATGCATGCTTCTCCCTTCATTCTCTCCCAACAGCTCATGCCAATCCAGGGGAACAGCAGCAGCAACCAGTATAGACAGCATGTCACTAGGACTGCTTTGATAGAATACAGAACCAGTAAAACTTTAACCATAATTTTCTTAGCATAAAAACAGCCCAAATCTTAAATACAGTTTGAGGAATGCACAAACTCCACAGATGCAAAGTTCGACATTTTTCTTTGCATGTAAAAAATTCAGTTTCCCAGAAGGCATGCTTTGGTCCATTGTTTACAGGCTCAAAGATGTTTCCATTCATTACAACAATAGAAGATAAATGACTACCAGAGAGTTCAAAAAGATGTAAGAAAGTTTGGAAGAAAATTTTAAGTCAGAAAAACAAGAAAATTCTCCCTAAAAAAAAAAAAAAATCAAAAATTTCTATAGAGTACAATACAGAGTTCTTATTTTTACCCACTATCTATTTTTAGACAGCGTGTGCAAGAATTTGTACAAGGCAAAATCCATATCTCAGGAAGCAGTTTCACAACCGGATTAAGCTAACCTAAAGCTAACCTGAGATAATGTATAAAGAGTCATGAATGTTCACTAGCAGTCACAACATGAAGGTACACCACTGATCCAGCTAGAAGTAACCCACAGGTACATACACAGAGAAGCAAAAAAGGACCAGTACAAACCAAAAGAGGGAGGGGGAAGTGTTGGAAAACTTGATTTGAGCACCAAGCAGGACTGGCCTTTTTCACAGCAGCACTATCCTGGATCAGCTTACATAAATCATGAAACTGCACTCTTCACTAACTCAAGGAAAACAACTTTGCACAGGAACCTAATACAATGGTGCATGATTACACACACATTATTTGGCAGCACAGCATGAAAAACGTGTGACTACTCTCTATCTGCAGTTCATGTATTCCACTTTTCCCTCCACCGCAGGGCTGAACAGCTTGTAAAGCTGATATACTTGCCAAAAACTCCATAGTGTTTGCCATCTCGCTTCCACGTACTGAACCGTCCTGCTGTAGGAAGCAACACTAGAGCAATTAGTTTTTAACAGCCAGGATCATATTTTGCATGTTCTACTTCTTCCTGCCTTCCCTCCTAAGTGTAGATATCTGATCCTGTTGAATCCAAACCCTACCAGCAACTGTACAAGCAGCATTCTGGAACTGACTTCTGGTTTACATAAGCAATAGCTCCCTTGCATTAGCCATGCTGCAATTGCTTGTTAATGTGGTTAGATTACTTGGATATCTTTCCATTATTGCCTCCAAAGAGGAAGGAAAGGGCAGGCAGAAATAACTCATTTGTCAGTCTGCGTGAAGATAAGATTTCTCTAGGACTGTCAGTTCATATGCAGTTTAGTATATTTAAAGCAATATGTACTTCAATGTTTTAATTTTTTTTTAAGACTTCTTTAAATCAGTCACTATACTAAAATTAAAGGCTGAACTCATAAAAAAATGAACTGTGTTGAAACAAACTTAAAATAAGGTTTTAAAAGACCACATGTAACAGGTTTTGTTCAGCTGTAGGCTGGTTTGGTTTTCCCTGACCCTGGGTTCTAAGACTCCCGTGACTCCGCTCAAGAGACAGGACATCCTCTAGCTCCATATAAAGAAAACACAAAACCTAGATTGAGAAAATAACAGTAGTTCTTAAAACTATTTTCTCTACATCTTTTACACTGGATTGCATGCATACAGACATATATCATTAGATAAGAGACCAGCTACATCAATGTAAGCACCAATTTATACCTGCACAATAAATTTCTATTTTATTTAAAATACAGGAGTTGATACTGAAATCGTACATCTGCACAAAAAAAAAAAAATAATTCAGGAAGGCCAAATGCCAGACCACTATGTAAATATGAGAAAGACAACTATATCACTAGATGATGAAACTAAAAGGCAATCAAATTAATAAATCCACCTACTGATGGAATAATGTGTGTGTGTCCAGAGGTAATGTATTATACAGGTCCGTGCCTTCTAGAATACAGTTCTGATCTTGCAGCAGAAATATTTCCATGATATCCATATTTTACTGTTGTTTGTGTAATTTCTGAGAAGTATGGCTCAGTGAACAGGAAACAGGCAGGAAAACCAATGGTTTCAGTCCTGCTCTGTGGAGGATTTCTGATGCCGTTTTAAACCATGAATTAATTTGTCTCACTTGGTTTTCCAAATTTCCCAAAGCTCTCAATCAGCCAGCACAAGCCAGAACTGCTACTTCAAGAAGTCCTGCAGTCCTCATTCCCCCTTATCCTCAGTTACTCTTTCCTGGCACTCCATAATCCCCTCTCCTACGTCAGCACAGACTGTTATATTTATTGCTGATAAACATATCAGCTGGATCAGCTGCCAAAATACTCTTGTATCAGCAGAAGGAAGAGGGCAAAAATAAGTAGCATGAAGATGCTGAGACCAAATACCATCAACCAGTGCTGTTGCAGAAAGACACCAAATGTAATCACAGATGAAAACTGCTACATGTGCATTTAACAATTATTATTTGTCTAATCTTCCGCATACAGGAAAAAAACTTCTGCATACTTCATTCAGATGTGGTGGTTTTTAATCACACATGAAAATGTTCAACTATGTATCTAATTTTATTGGGAAATTATTAATCTATAAGAAAATATTTGTATTTCTGATCATTTAACAGAATTTTGGAAGGCACAGATGTGAACCAAACACATGGTGTGTACAGTGTATGAACGGCAGAGAACTGGACTGTGACTGCAAGCAGCACTATTCACTCCTGTGGCCAGAGTACATACATCTTTCGTTCTTCAACATTTCTTCATTTCTTCTAGCATATTTTTTTTAGCAACAGCTGAAATGCCTTTTTTTTTTCAGGAAGACAGACTCAAATATTTTATCTGTATAAACTGCTTAAACATCTTGTCTTTAAAAACAGTAAAATGAGAACTATTAAATCAGCATGTTTGATATATTGCTAATGAACTGGTGAAGTTAAATACCAATGCATTCTTTAAAAAAAACACACCAAACAATTTAAACTATACCCATTTTAAAACAACTTACTATTTTGTAGTCTTTCAGTCTTTCAATATGTAAGAGCTCATGTCAAATGTTTTTAAACATACATGTATCTTTTAATTCTAGTTGAATAAGCATATTTACTTCATCCACAAACTGAAATTACTATTGAAATACATGTATGTTATCCTAATTTGAAAGCACTCCCATTTTGCACTCCAGATTTCATGTCCATCCCCTCTTCCCTTTTCTTTAAAATTATCAGTTGCATTTTTACAGTTTCATACATGTAAGCTATATGACCTAAAGGAAAACAAAAGCATAAAATAAAAACTTTCCTCAAATTACCTTCTTTGGACTAAAATTTTCTCACAAATGTATTTATAACTGTGATAGTACTAATATCTGATTATCAATCACGTATTTCAGCCTGCAGCTTTTCTTCTGTTTAAAAAGAGAAACCACAACAGAATTGGCACAAATCCAACCTTTACTAGAAGTGTTTTCTCTCTATTTTTCCAGCTGGAGTGAAAAAGCAGAGAAAGTGACCACGTACACACATGTAGCATGTGGATGGGAACTTAAAAATCAAACCACAACTGCTATCCACATGACAAAACAGAAGAATCCCCTGCTGTTCCAGCTAGAAAATACCAAATTTATCTTAAATTTAAAAACAATAAACACCAAAAAGTTGACTAGAAAGCAAGGAAATATTTATGATCGTGTATCATTTACAAACAGAACAGTCATATTTCTAAAAAGAATATTTTATTATTTTAATGACAGGTTCATGAAATAATAATGAGGAACAAGACTAAAATGGTTTGGAGTCAAATCCAAAATTTAGTGTCCACACAGGGAGGAGGACAGAAATACATCTAGCAATTTTAATTCTAGGAACAGAAGACAACAGAAAGAACCAACTCAGTTCAAATAAAATGGAGCAATCGCTAAAGATACTCAAACAAAATTGGTATTTACTCAGTACCTGTCTCCGTTCTCGACGAGACAAAGTGTTTCCATGAAGTATTCGCCAGAGCATCCTTGCAGCTATTTTTGTGTCAATCCACAGTAATCGAAAACCATGGTAATAGTGCTTCAGTTCATCCACAATCCTCTGTCCAAGAGATTTTTTCACAACTTCCACTTCTGTTGGACTATATACAGGACCTCCTTCTTCCAACTTCTTGTTTTTGTCCTTTAAGGACTTCAGTGACTTTTCAACTATGGAGTCATCTTGAAGGGGACATGAAGAATGCCACCATCTAACTGGAAGATACTGGGGACCTAAAACACCCATGGTTGTTAGTGGTGTCCATGAGCCAGAAGAGCTCGTAAGAGTAAAGTATATTTGTTCAGATCCTTTAGTCCAACAACAGTAGTGATCTTTTTTGGAGTATGCATAGACTGGAGGGACACTAGTGCAATGTTTAAAGTGTACAGTCCTTCAAAAGAAAAAAAAGCATTCAAGAATTAGCAATAGATCATAACCTAATTACATAATTTATATACAGTTGTACAGTTATGGAAATTTATGTATTTATAAAAATGCATTATCTGAGAAATATCTACCACATATTTAAAAAAAAAAAAAACAACAAGCTTGTGACTTTCAAGATTAATGTCTATACTTGAAAAGAACACTTGGCTTTACTTCATGACAAAAAAAAATAACCTGCAGAGAATTTTCTACTAAACAACTTTGAAAAAGTAGCTTATTTACTCCAAGGAAATAAAGAGCAGCAACCAGAAGTGCTTTCCATTTAAAAAGCTACAATTGAAAATAAACCTGTAAATCCGTAAGTAACATAAAGCCACTTCTATTACTTCTGTTTGAACAAAACATTAAAGAAAAAAAAAAGTTGTAGACTTGGGATAGGTGCTGAATTAGAGGAAAAGAATTAGTATCAGAGAAACCAGATGTCATTAGAGTTCCTCTTTTACCATCTCCATACATCTAGTTTTCCTTTTTCAGCAGAAACTTTTGCACAAAATTCCATCATGGTACTCAGCTGGGGCACACAGAACCAACACTCTTCTACCTTATTCAGAATATTGTTCTTTTCTTTAATTAAACGTAAACTGAAGTTAGAAAGAAAGCATTGCTCAAACACCCCAAACACTCGTTATACACACAGAAGAACTGCTTATATGTATGTAGGATTGTACACACTTTTATAAAAGGATATGACAAACTTAAAATAGTAGATAAAATATTTTATATAAATGAGTTCCATTAGGTGTCCCTCAAACTGAAATGCCAGCATTAAGTCATCTACAGGACAGAAATGACTAGGGTGTTTCTTTACAGAGCCCTTGTACTACCAAAACAAAATCAGGATGTGTATTTGTCTTCAGTCAATGAACAGAAAATAGGTGCAAGTGACTCTACAGCTCTGAGTAACACTTTAAGGGAAAAAAAAGTTGATCGAGCATTTGTAAGTATTAGCCTCACTCACTCAATTTTCAGCCAGAAGTACTTCTTAATTATCACACGCATCCAATGAATTTTAAATTACTTCAGTGATTTTATCTATTTACTGTTATTCAAACAGAGCTTTGTTCAAAAAAAAAAGACTAAATTATTACTTTAAAGACACCTGATTATTTTCTAGCTTAAACTAAAATTTTAAGCATCTGACCATTTAATGGTCAAATGACTGCTGAAACATACACAGCTACACAAAACATTTTCTTGATTAGCTAGAAAACTACACACTTGCACAGATATTAACTAGTGAGAATTACAGTTCCTTTAATAAAATAAAGTACATATTCAAAACCAGATTAAAAGTCATTCCCCCACAGCAGAGCTCCAGGCCTACAGACCAAGTTCCACCTTCATACATCTACATTCTTCTGCACGCAGAGGAATGGACCTCTGCCAGCAGAACTGGTTCTGAGTCTGCAGGGAAGAAAGTTTTCACGAGAAACATGCTTCTCTGAACACACTTTCAGTAGCAGGATGTCAGACACAGAACTTCTATCCCAAGCTGTCCTCGGTACTTGTATCATTAGAGTCCCTTGCTTTTGGATCCGAGTCCTGTGGGGCGCAGGCACTAGTCTGTTTTATTTTAAGCAGCAACATTACATTAACAGCAGCTTTAGGTAAAAAAACTTCTCAAAATAGTAACAAGAATTTCTGTCCCTCATATAACAGACTTAAACAGCGAGTTTCCAATTTCCCAAGAGAGAGTTCCCATATAATAATCTACTAAAAAGTAAACTGAGATTTGAAAATGCTTTATGTACTAAAAAACCTCATAACTAATTATACAGGAAGTGATACAGAACTAACATGACTAAAAAAGAAAGGAATTACTTTGTTTCATGTTAGAGGGTTATGTCAAGAGACACATCCTTATGTTAAAATGGAAACTTAGGAAACTGAAGACCAGTCACTGCTTCCTGAGCAGTTAGACTGTAAATAAACTAGAGGATACATGTTTTAACATTCAAGGGAAGGCACTAGTAAATTTATATCCACAAGTATGCCTTGTGAGCCAAGTCAGGAACACAGAATGGATTCTGCCAACACCCAACTCCTTAAGTTCCATAAGAGTACACAGCAGCTGGATTTGTTTTCAGAAGAGGACACCATCTCCTAGGAGAGTCTCACCCAAGGCCGTAACATACAGTAAACTAGTTTGGTTTAATAAAGATACAACTCAAATGATCTACGTTCCTAACTGTCAAACTAGCTGTGACTGAACGTTTACTCTACGGAACACCACACAGAAAGTATGCAAGAAGCCAATGATATCCCATGATGTCACCTGGAATCACTCAAGAACAAGAACAAAATTCTACTGCTTTCACATCACAAGTAAAACAAAAAGGAAGGAAGTGGGCGAAAAAAAGGAAGATCTCACTTTCATTCTCCTACACACAACAAAGCAGGTGAAGAGAATAATACTCAGACTTCCTTTAATCTGTCAGTAACACAAGATGAAGCTAGTATTTTCACACTTTATCTAGAAGATTTAAACCTACATTCTATGACAGTATACTAACTGATGGTTTCGTACAGTTTTGAGTTTAGAAAAAAGTTCATATTTACTCACATTTTGTTTGCCAGCCTCAGGGATGTACAGCTAAGACATGCCCGATCTCCCAAGTTACCTAGAAAAATACCAATAATTAGCACTAATTCTGAAATTCAGGAAGACATTTATCCACATAGTGAATTGTACACAAATACGCCGATTTAAAAGACCAACCTTTACTTAGCAATGGCTACAACTGAAAGCACAAAAAAGATGCTGCTTCACAGCAGCTTCCTTGTCCTGCAGCATTTGTAAGCACATTCACACTTTGGATCATTGTGCATCACAAACAGCCAAGACTGAAAATTTTTTTTGCTTTGACAATAACCATGTGAAGTACTGAAGCCCAAATACATCACCCTATTCCAACACAAGCCAAACCATGTACCTTGTTCTTTTTATTTCTCTCAATCTGTAATCACAATTTATAGGATAAAACAAGTGGGAAGCAATTCTGTAACGCAGCTGACATCTCCATAAGCATTGAATCAAACTGCCCATGCATACAGTCGAACTCTGTGGACGTGTGAGGTACTGCCTGCACTTGTTCAATTGTCTGAAGATAGGCTTCCAAGTCCCTTAGACAAGCAACTATACTGCAGATAAACTTCACTGAAAGCAAATGTACTTTTTTAATGGCTCCATGACAACACAGCATTAGATGAGCTAAATGGAGCACTTGGAAAGTGTCTAGGACGAAAATGTGGTTTTGTCTTTTTTTTTTAAGCAGGACAACAAACAAAGCGTGAGTATGAACCTAAACACACGTCACTAGTGAGGTGAAACCACAATGCTGTTTCAATACACTGCTGTCCATTCTGATTAGCACCATATAAAAATAGCTCTGTCCCTAGACCTCAATGCAAAGGATACAAATTGTCCTGAAGGGCAAGACACTGATTCGAGAAATAGGAAAGGTTAGCTTTCCAGCAAATAGTGCATTCCCCAAAATGAATTTTTTTTAAAGCATTAACTCAGAATCAGTCTAAATAATAAAGTCCACAAGGACTTTATTATCCACTGACACCTATACAGGCATCCTCTATCCAGGTACAGAGACAAGCAGCAGCCATTCTGGCAATTAATTGAGGAGACCATCAAATGATAAATTATCTACCTCAGTTCACATGCTTCAGTAAAGGGCCATAATTGAAAACCTTCCAACCATCCAATACCATGGAAGCACCATCAGCTACATAAAATGCTATCTCATGGCTGTATGCAATCTACAATCACTGAAAATCATCCCCGAGTCCACTAGAAAAGAATCAATCTCCCTAAATTTTTTTTTTTTAATCTTGTATCAATAACTAGCTGTAATAGCTAAGTAGCTAGCTAATACTCCTGGACAGACCAAAGGAAGAGCACATGAGCAAGAGTGCAAATACCTCTACTCTTTTTGGGCAGTCTTTTCAGAATTCACTGTAATCAAAAGAAAAATTAAAGACTGGAGTAGGCATGCTGTAGTTTGTTTCACCCATCTGGAATCTACTACTTCTGGTCAATCCCAAGAGACAGCAGGGTATAAAGGTTATTTTAGAGAGTATTGATCAACCTTTCCATCATCAAAGCTAAGATACAGCCTATGACAGAATCTGAAGTAGACAGTTGTATCTTAGAAAATGCAGCACTCGGAGCTGATCACCAAAAGCCTTCTGCAAAATACCCTAATTATAAGAGGAAAAGAAATATCTCCAAAATCTAGTGTGGCAATCAGAAGGTACAGAAAGGGGAGGAGGGGGGAAAAAAAGGTAAGTTAACTTATCAAAGAAAAATCTCAATAATCAAGGGATGTCCCATGGTAAATGGGCTTTGACATCATTACAGTAAAAGCTATGGCATTATGAAATCAAAGGAAAAGGATTTACCCATCTCAAGCTATATCAAACTCTTCACAGGTATTCACTGCCACTGCAAGCAGAGCCAGGGAAGAGACTCTCTCTCTCTCTCTGGCTCAAAAATCAAAGCCTTAAGAAACTGTGAAGGTATTCTGATACTCTCCAATATACAGAAAGATCAGTAGCTGAATGTCTTAACCCAAGAGTCGAGCCATCTCAGAAGGATGTCCCTGACTGAACAGCTGAACAAAGCAGAGAAGTACTCGAAGTCTTGAGGGATAAGTTGCAGCATGGTAATCTGTTTCTCTCACCTGAGTGGCAGGAAGCACACAAAACCTATGTGCCAAAAATGAGAG